CGTGTAAGCAAAGTGTGGTGTCTTGTAACAAGTGAGAATACAATGGCCACTGGAGAAAAAAGCCCGCCACGTACTCCAGGAAACGGTACGTAACATAATCTGGAAATATCTCGTACTGGAAACGAGGTCAACAGGGTCTGGGTTCACGTAGCGCTCATCAGTAGCACGAGAAATTTGGGTAAATGCCCGAGGCAAGCTCCTAAGGTTAATCTTGATAGAGGAATTTTGTTACTTAACATTTTTTTTTTATGTTACACAATTTAAATGACTAATATTTACTAAATCAATGCACATTTTCATATTACTTGATTGATCGGAGAAAAATATAAATGGTAAGCAAATAAAATTAAATGCTATGTTTTGGAATTTGTTCAGTAATTGTATTACATACATGTAATTTTGTGTTATCTGAATCTCCAGCTTTCTGTGTATGGGGTTCTGCTTTCAACCTTTATGTAGGACTCCAGTTATCTTAGCCTGGTCCTGGCATTTATAGACTTCTTGCGATTGAAGTGTTGAAACTAACGCCGGAAACCGTCATCCTTTACACTAGATGGATTATGGAAACATGCAGAGCAAAGTGGTGTGATTTGGACATAACATGCTTAAGATGGAACCTTTTTCAATTAAAACTACACTGCAGAGATATTGTCAAGATGTACAATCGTAAGATAGAGCATGACCGAACGCAGAGACATGGACTGTAATGACGTGGTGAGGTTCCAAAATTGCTGTAATATAGCGTATTCAACCCTATGTATACCTTTATGTTTGGAAGTCAACTATATCACCTTTTAAGGTTAATTTGCAGTATTGTTATCAGTATCAATTTCAAAATTGCTGTGTGTAATATATATATATATATGTATGACACTGTAAATTAGTCCTGTCTGTATTATATGATAAGAAAAAATAAATACGGAAATGTCAACTTCTTTGCTGACAGTCTTTTGTATTTACATTACATTTCATCTTTCTAAACAAATAGACTTGCCTACATCTTTCAGTTTGCTTTTTTATTTGTTTACATCATATTTTTATTATTTAAAAACTGGCACATCAGAGTCAACGACGGATTTCAGCTTCCTACTCGAGAAATGACGTGCTAACGAGAAGTATACTCATAGTAGGGCTTGGCTCTGTTGTCATTGTTGTGCTGTTATGTGACGTTTAGATTTTGCAATAATTATGATTTCTGGCAAAGTAACATTCACCTATTGCTGGTTGAGCGAACTAAAAAAAATTACACCGTTGGTAACGTCAGAATAGTCAGGCAATGGCGCATTGGTGGCGCTATCTATTGCAGATATGAGACAATAATAATTTTCAGATGCAAAGAGAAGCTCAGCATCCTGAAACAAGAGGAAAACTTTAAACTACGAAATACTTACAATATTTAATTATTGTTAACTCGTCATCAGCTGAAAATCGGTTATTAAACAAGGCTTAAGGATCATTGTCATGGCTAATAGGTTGTACGATAATTAATTCTAATTATTAATTAGTTACTTTTATCACCACGTACACTCCTTCACAGGTTATAAACTGAAATGTAGAATATAAAAATTATTAATTAGTATCTAATAAAAAGTAACTAATTAATATTTAGACTTAGATGATTGTGTGGACTACGAGTCACAACAATGACTGATATTCGGTCATATTTTGTTCAGTGTAACTCAGTGATTATCAGGTGAATTAGCAAGCAAATTGAACGTAGATTCAGTGTTACAGCATATGAATGAAAATACAATTTGAGTAATGCCTAGTTGATCAATTTTGCCAAGTTTATGAGGTATCACCTACTGTTTGAATTAAAGAAGAACTTTTTATTTTTTCGCTCAAGCGTTCTTTGATAGATTTCACGTATTTTTTATGTGTTACATCAACACAAGACACTTACATCGTAGTAATTACTATTTAAATAAATCTTTAGGGAAGTAACAAGTAATATTACACACGTTATCAAGTAGATTACATGGGAATAAAAAGCGTGTTACCTTTAAGGTTTAGTTATTTTACAGCAAAAAACCACACTGGGCTTTCTGCTGTTTCCACCGTGGGGGAATCGAACCCCGAATTTTAGTATTATAAATTCGTAGACTTACAACTGTCCCACCGGTGGATTACCTTTATTGGTGGCAACACATGAGAAAGAGCCAGAAACAGCAGTGACATTGGATGACACCCTCGTTATGAGCTTAGCTATGTGAAGTAAACTCTGGGAACGAGAGTAACCAGATAAAGGAGGGGAGAGCATGTTTTGGTTACATGAAGCGATGTTCTTTTATATTCACCTCTATGTAGCATGCATTGAAAAATAAATTTTTATTTACAACCAAAAAGATGTAGATTGAATTCTTTCCTTCGTGTTGTTAATACTAGATAATTATATGTCGTAAAAGTTTTGAGAACTAAATTAAGAATCTGCTGGTCGTGTTCGCTAGGTGCTCGTGTTGGAAGCACTATGCCCAGCGTTTGGCGTTGTACTTTTGAAAACGGTGCAGGAATGCTAGTTAAATATATATATGATAAGTTTACTGTAAATTGAAAGACAATTAACTAGAATTTGAAAATGGCGAAGTTATAATATTTGTACTGATAAACCCTAAAATTACCGCTCATTCGTTTTTTTAAACAATTTCTTCTGAATTATTTATGCACCAAATTGCTGTGGGTCCATGGTTTTGTTGGCTACAGAGTCCCTAATAACATTGGAATCGTACAGGAAAATGTTGTTTGACAAATAGTGATATTATTGAAAGTATTGGCCATCGGGCGTTCCTCTTTAACAACAATATGTTCAATAGTATAACTATGTCATCGGGTGTTCCTCTTTAACAACAATACTTTCAATAATATCACTATGTCATCGGGCGTTCCTCTTTAACAATAGTACTTTCAATAATATCACTATGCCATCCGGCGTTCCTCTTTAACAATAGTACTTTCAATAACATCACTATGTTATCGGGTGTTCCTCTTTAACAACAATGCTTTCAATAGTATAACATGTCACTGGGCGTTTCTCTGTGTTTATCACACAGAAAATGGGTGATTTCATCAAACACGATTGTTTTGCCTCAACAATAAGTGTTATAACAGGTAAAAAGAGTTAAATTACGTACCATCATGCAATATGTGGATGGACTCCACTGGTATTAAACAATAATAACATAAATAAGAGTTAAAATCCACTGAATGACCATTTGGGCATCCTGGCTATTATCGGTAGTTTCGGATATAATCCCAATAATATTACATACGATCCGATTAGCTTAGGAGAATAGAACTATGCACACACTCTGGGATCACAATTATAATAATAATAATGTTATTTCATACATTAATCCCACATTTTTATCGGGACATTAATTAAGTGACTTCTTTGAAACAAATAATTGTATACGTAATCCTAAAACTAGAATACAATTGATACATACACCCACGTTAGAAATCACGAACTCCATAGTAACCGTCTACGTCATGAAAAGACACGACATTTCAAGATTAAGTACTTACAATCATAGAAGTCAAGTGCTGATCTTCAAGCGTTACTAACTTGACATTATTATAATTCCAAAGGAATATCTCACACGGCATCGTACTATATTCAACACACGGGCGAATCTCGTCTTCGTTTTCTGTTCTGTTCACTATTCTAAGGTCTTCATTTAAGTCAACTGTCATCCTGAATTTCAGTTTACTTTATTATTTTCTGTACAACTTATTGAAATCATTATATAAGTTATTTGTTTTTATTCTGTGTATGACAGTATGTACAACAGCTTCATTCTAGTATGTATTGCTTTATTTATATATATTTTCAACAAAGTCTGCTCGTTTTAGTTTTAGTGTCAATGATCATAATTCTTCTCAACTACGCCCTCTAGAAGTTGACTTCTGATAATAGTTTATTTTGAGCTATACAGCTTTTGGATATTCTTTACACCTTTATTCTTATACCATAATATTTGTTTAACATCTCAATTCTTAAAAAAAACCTCTCTAGGTAATTTCTATTCGTATGATTTAAAAGAAAGAAAACTTAAGTGTGTGATATATATATCTTTGCACATAACTAACACTACTGTACTGTATGGTTGCCGTTATCCATAGTTGCTTTAGTTAACCCTAGAATACTGATATTTTATTCAACTCATGTCTATGACTAACTATTTCAAGCATATTTTTCTTTAAAATTTTCTTTTAAAATCCTTATCTTCTCAGCTTATCAGTACTCACCATTTGTGAGTTTTATTATTTTTTTACTCGAAGAAAAATGGTGTCATTGAGATATGATTCCAACTAATACACCACTTACTGCTGATAAAGTGACAATTCACTTCCTTAAATTATAGACGTCTAGAACATAGAGCAGAAAGGGACACGTTCTCCCCTATGTTCAATTATTATACATACACTATTATTAACAGCTATGTTAGATAGACTAAGATGTTTTTTTTTGTCTTTTTTTACGAACTCGTTAGCGTCTCTGTGAAAACATTCAGTCTTTACATTATCAAACATCCAAACTGACCGTAAGAGAGCTGGAGTCGCAATATGCAGGTTTTTCAGATGAAAAATTCTGCTATTGAATTATCAGTTAGTAGGAACAAACTGGTAAACTATCTCTAGAACTTCCATGACAATATAACAATGTCAAGGACAGCCATAAAATCAATCTCAGTAACGCAACTGATCATCAGACTTCGTGTGACAGATCATCAAGTTTCATTATAATAGTTCCATATAATATTCCAAAGCGCTATTTGTAGAAGCTGTAAAATTAAATACGCTTTCAATAAGCCAGTTGCCATGGCAAAAATACAGTTTCTAGTATAAAGTTTTCCCACCAAAACAAGATACACACACTAGCTTCTGGTATTAATTTGGAGTGTTGATGGCGGGAATTATTCAACCAACAATTCAGAAACACTGAACCATTAAGTTTTGTTTTTTAGTCTTCATTAACAATAGTCAATATTTGCTGTCAAAAATAGTGTTCTAAACAAAATGATACAACTTTATTGCTTCAAAACGAGATAACAGCTTTCAGTCCTGATCAGTTGCTATAGCAACACTGATGAAATACTCCACATTTTGAATGTTGTAATACTAAATCCCTAGTAACATCAAATCAGTAATGAACATACTAGAGTCGAACTGTTTGTGGCCATAATAACTCATTATCAACACAATTCTCGCTTATTTATGCTCCGAAGACTTCCGGAGCATTCATGAATAGGAAGTAAAGTTAACTCTACCAAGATGGAATTTAAGTGATTTCTTTTGATCCGTGAGATGGCGTATTATCAAATTAAAGCTGCTTGATTTTGGGCTATCGGATATTGACAATTATCCAGTCCACAGTAGAAGAAACACGGTGGTAGATTCCTGGTTGACGTGACTCCGCACAACCAAATCCAGCAGAAATAATGCCAGCCAGTGTCCACTGGTTGTTGAGATACATGATGAGGGGACCTCCGGAATCACCCTATACAGAACAAGAAAAATCAACCAGTAATTTAAATTCACTTGTATCTTCTTGATTTCAGAAAGATGTTTCGGATTATATAGTTTCTAGTAAAGCTTTAACCACAGGAAAACACACAATAGTTCGTGTTATTGATCTAGCTGGGATATTGATCAACAGTTTGTGTTATTGATGTAGCTGGGGTATTGATCAATAGTTCGTGTTATTGATGTAGCTGGGATATTGATCAATAGTTCGTGTTATTGATCTAGCTGGGATATTGATCAATAGTTCGTGTTTTTGATCTAGCTGGGGTATTGATGACGTGCATTACTCAACCAATAATTCAGATCCAATCAAGCTTTAAGTTTTGTTGTTGGTCTTATTTTGATGATAATTATTGTTGTTATGATAATTATTATTTGAAAATAACACACATTATATAGACAGTAGTAATATCGTACTTAGCAGCATATACATATGTAATGGTATTAATATTACTAGCAAAGACGCCGCCATATGGGCGGCTGTTATACCTAGGAATTGCTAATCGTAGTATTGATACTTCATTAGAAAAAAAAAAAAAAAAAAAACAAATACGAAAAGTGAATATTTTATACAAAAAGAATTTTTTTCTGGGAATTACTGCATGGGAAAAGTGTTCAGATTGTGTTCTTTAGTCATACTCAACTCATTGCATCAAAATGATTCAATATACAGAACTCAAAATTTTCATACATTTTACTGATATAAACTGTAATGTTTTTACACATTAAAAATGGGACCCGTTTTTGAAAAAATAATATTTTTTTAAAAACTTCAATTTCTCAGTACTACATTTACAAATTACATCAATAAATATATAATCAAACCCTCACGCCCAGTCCTAGTGAAAGTTGTGTTCTTGTTGTTAGGAGAGTACTTTTATTTAAAAGTTTGTTTTATTATAAAGAAATGGTTGTTGCACATACCACAGCTATTTTTATAATTGCTTTAATCTTGAATACCTGAAGTGTGAAATTGTTTTATGGATTTGTGTTTGTAGTGCCATTCAATAGATGGCGTAAGAGTTTTGGTTACATACATAGATACTGACATACACGCTACGTCCATTATAGTAAGATCATACCTAGTAAAATATAGTACTGACAATAAAGAGGATTGCATACATTATATTAAAGCGATTTTGAATATGCAAGTCTGTACTGCACGTGATAACCACAGTTGATATAAAGTCTTAGTGGAACGGAATGTATCAAAACTACTTGTACATTGTTAAGCCTTAAGTAGACGTGCGATATCACCGAAAACTTGTTGCTTTTTGAAGGGTATGTAGCAGACCTTTCCCACGCAAAATATTCATACACTCAGATCATAAAGATTGTTCAGATCAAACTCAACCTCTGTAGTGCTACCTAGTAACATATAGTAATCGTCTTAGTTTGACAATAGCATGTTGAACAATTTACACGTGCTATGAGGTTAAATTTTATACAAACATTAAAACAGATTTGTTATTTTTTCTTGGATTTCACGCGAAACTACAAGAAGGCAATCTGTCGCTAGCCGTCTCTAGTTTTTAAATGATTGGAGGGAAGACAGCTAGTCAACACCACCCCCCGCCAACTCTTGAGGTGCATTCATCAGAACGAATAGTGGTATTTGACAGTCACTCTTATAACGCTCCCATAGCCTCAGATTACAGAGGGCGACAACTAAAAGTGAACCACGGAACCTCAGCTCCACGGTCCGACACGCTAACCACTGGGCCTCGCTTGGAGCCATAAAAACAGCCTTTCCAATTCAACCGTCATATGGCTGAACAACAGAGACAATCGCGCCAAAAAAAAAGATCCATTTAATTTACTTAAGCTTGACTATATATTATGTTTTTTTAGGATGAGAACACGCACCGAGGTAATCTCAAGTTAAGTTGTAAGGGAATACACATTTAAAACGTGAAGTACGAGTTTCTACTTCTTAATTTTTTTTTCACTTGTTTAGTAGATAGAAAAAAAATTATGTTCCGTGATATAAATTTCTAACTCACCACACACGCATCTTTTAAGCCTTGTTCATAGCCCGCACACATCATTTCCGGATATATCCGGATATTGATCCCTCGACTACGGTGCCACAGTTCACAGTCTTTGTTCTGGATCACGGGGACCTCTACTTTATGGAGTACTCGGGTACCATATTTGTTACCTAATTGATGAGATTGAATTAATGAACTTAGTAGAGCGTTTTTGTTTTTCTTCTACTAAGAGCCAAAACAATCTGTAGCTAAAAGTTAAACGATGACTGAATTTTTTTTTTTTACAAAATAAAAGATTATTATTTATATTGTGCATAGCAACTAAGATATTTTAGATACTAAAACCTTTTCATTTTAACAGTATTTTCACATATTCATAAAAAAAGATGCAACATTTTTACTCAGGTGTAAATTTAGAAAGAACGGAACAACACAAAATATCCCTTTTCAGAAGTGACAAACAACTATGACAGATTCAAAGTTTCAGTATGGCACAATTATGGTAAACTAAATGTGGCAACGACATTATTTGATGCAGAAGGTTGTTCAATAATTATGGTAACAATTTACTTATCCAATCATCTTGCCCGGGCAGTTCCGTAGCCTGTGGCTACATAGGTTAGAAACCCTAACCCTCTTATTGAAATTCACTGTGGCAGTATGAAGCTGTGTAAGTACAGATAATATCTAAGATGGCGGTTGCAGGATACTGTTTTAACGGTAAATTAGACATCCGGAGAGTCGAGAAAAATGTCCAGATATACCCTCACAGTAACATACCACCATACAACAATGAAATGTCATCTTTGTATGTCAATAAGGTATGTGTGGCTCAGTTAAGTTCGTTTTGTTTTCAATTTTGCGCAAAGTTACACGAGGGATATCTGCGCTAGTCGTCCCTAATTTAGCAATGATAGGCTAGAGGGAAGACAGCTAGTTAATACCACCCACCGCCAACTCTTGGGCTACTCTTTTACCAACGAATAGCGGGATTGACCGTCACATTAGGGTTGAAAGGGCAAGCATGTTCGATGACGGGGATTCGAACCCGCAGATTAGGAGTCGAACGCCCCAACCATCAGGCCATGCCAGGCCTGGTTCCATTAAGACTGAACATCAAGCCACACGTACAAGCCAGCATGGTAGTTCTGTGATATACAAATACAAATGGGAGTTTATGTTAAGCCATTCACAGACAATTCCTATGGATTTCTATACATTTGAGTTGCTCAAAGAACCCCGAAAATCGTCGTTCACGCATAGTTAATAGGTTTTGGAAAGCAGGCGAAATTAATGGATCAACAACATTCACCTCAGCGTATTGCGTAAAAGTCTTTTAAAGCAAAACTGATATACAGGGCAATTATCCCTAACCAGAACACCATCGGGAGTGAAAAGGGGGAATGTAAAGACTTAGGAACTAGTCTTGTATTGTTACCATAAATCTTGAATATTTCTTTGCATCCTTTAAATCCTATTCATTGCACAAAAGTTGCCAGTAACCTCCGGAACGTTCTTTGAAGCGATCTCAAAATGTCTACCAATGAACATCAAAGGTTATTTAATGTTCTGCCATAGCATCAAATGTGTTGGTCACCATATTGATAATGTGCATATTCGTTTCGCGCAGATGTGATTTACGTTTAAATCATTATTTAAGAAGAACCTGTACGATAATTAATAGAATCCCCCTCTTCCTTACTTAAGGCGGAGTCAGTCTTCCCCCAGCCTGTAATAAGGCCACTCAGTCCTTCAAAGCTCATATTAAAAGGCGGTAAACAGATGGGAAGAATGTGATCCAGAAAGTAAACCGGTCGATCTAGGCGTAGCAAGGCGACGTCATAGCGGTCAGGGTTTGATGCAGAGAAGCGGAAGTGGGGTTGAATCCTAATCTCACGGACACTGAAGTACTGGGGAGGCAGACTTTGGTAACGCTGATCTTGGATGTCGTACAGACCTAGAACCACGGTGAGGTCGTGAAGTCTTGCTCTACAAAGATCGTTCGAACAAGTGTATTAACTTGTACTATTTCTCTTTATCCACAAATCTTTGTTAGTAATGGATTTTAACTTGTACTCAATACATATTATTCAGTGTTAAATAAATATATGCTTGTACTCAATACATATTGTTCAGTGCTAAATAAACATATATTCGTACTCAATACATATTGTTCAGTGCTAAATAAACATATATTCGTACTCAGTACATATTGTTCAGTGCTAAATAAACATATACTCGTACTCAATACATATTATTCAGTGTTAAATAAATATATACTTGTACTCAATACATATTTTTCAGTGTTAAATAAATATATACTCGTACTCAATACATATTATTCAGTGTTAAGTAAATAATTACTTGTACTCAATACATATTGTTCAGTGCTAAATAAATATATACTTGTACTCAATACATATTGTTCAGTGTTAAATAAACATATACTCGTACTCAATACATATTGTTCAGTGTTAAATAAATATATACTCGTACTCAATACATATTGTTCAGTGTTAAATAAACATATACTCGTACTCAATACATATTGTTCAGTGTTAAATAAATATATATACTTTTACTCAATACATATTGTTCAGTGTTAAATAAATATATACTCGTACTCAATACATATTGTTCAGTGTTAAATAAATATATACTTGTACTCAATACATATTGTTCAGTGTTAAATAAATATATACTTTTACTCAATACATATTGTTCAGTGTTAAATAAATATATATTTGTACTCAATACATATTGTTCAGTGTTAAATAAATATATACTCGTACTCAATACATATTGTTCAGTGTTAAATAAATATATACTCGTACTCAATACATATTGTTCAGTGTTAAATAAATATATACCTTTACTCAATACATATTGTTCAGTGTGAAACGTTAGAATGTTATTTGGAGTGGGATCAAACAAAAAGTGTAAAAGATTCCTGGGTGTTATTCAAGATTAGGACGATGATCAAAATACACAACCATTCAAGCTCATTGAACAAACGAAAGTAAAATGTCATCTAGAATATTTTTCATTCTAAAGCTATCGTTTTTTGTTTTTTTTTGTGCTCTGGAATGATGTTTTCCTACTTGCGTACAATATACAGTAATTAAATAAATCTATATTTACAAAACGAAACATAAATCATTTCAAAATTAAACATAAAATAGGTTTTTTGTTGTTTCCAACGCTAAAATCCGGGGTTCGATTCCCGATTATGTAGCTAAAATACAAAAACAACAACAACAATTGTTTGTTGTTAAGCATAAATTTACACAGTGAGCTATCTGTGATCTACCAACCACGGGTATCGAAACCTGATTTTTAGCATTATAAGCCTAAGACTTACCACTGAGTCACAAAGGAGGCGATAAATTTGGTAGTCACTATATTATCTATATAAAAGGAGAATTTTCATATCTAACTACATTGGTATGATTGTTTGTTTTAGAGCACAGCCACACTGGACTATCTGCAGTGTCCACCGCGTGGAATCGAACTCCGGATTTATTGTTATAAGTCCTTAGACTTATCTTTGTCCCATCTGGGTACTGTGGCACGAGATATTGTTTATTGCAACGTTTCTAAGGTTATTTGCTGTTGTCCCTAATTTTGATCTGCCGTCAACTCCTGAGCTGCTCTTTTTACCAGCCAGTTATTCGAAATAGTCGTCTTAAAGACGACATAAATTACTGTTGAATAACTTCTTTTGAAAAGGACCTAAATCAATACGAGGAAGTGTTTGTGTATATAACACTTGATCGTTGTTAATGCAGTTCATTAAAATATAATATTTCTTCCTTAGGCCCATATCAAAATTATCAGCCAGCAGTGTGGGGGCGCTCTTGTCAGCAAAGAGTTTGTGGTAACAGCAGCACATTGCGTCTACAAGTAAGTTTGTTAAGATCGTTTTTCAACGTAGCAAATTAGTTAATCAAACTAAGTTAGATCGTCTTCAAGACAAAAAAAAACTAATTAAAATCAGACAGAAGAAAATCACTAAGAATTAACTCAGAAGATATAATACCTGGCCAAAAACATGTTTTCAATACTCCTGCTCAAACACAAGAATGTATTATACTAACCAGTTGTGCTTTTAAACTTAGTCCTTTCACTGGGAATTAACGGTACTAAGTAAAGAGCTCAAAACAGGTGCAAAAGGTTTAACGAAATGAATAATAAAAAGAAAAAAGATAATACGAGAAGAATAAAAATCGGAAAGATTTCTATTTATCTTCTGTTATTCTACTACAGGCCTAGCTGAAAATACATTGAAACTTTAGGACTATTTGATTGGGCTAACTGACCACAGCTTTATAAAAGAAAACTACAACAGCGACATTATAAATAATTTTTAATGAGAATCTGTTGACAAATCGGAGAACAGATGGTTAGTTATACACGTGTCGGTTACTTAGATACATAGAGAAGAAATTCTGCCGAAACTACAGAAGACATTAATGACAGAAAACAGCGAAATAATTGATAGATTTGTTTGTTTTTCAATTTCGCGCAAAGCTACACGAGGGCTATCTGCGCTAGCCGTCCCTAATTTAGCAGTGTAAGACTAGAGGGAAGGCAGCAAGTCATCACCACCCACCGCCAACTCTTGGGCTACTCCTTTACCAACGAATAGTGGGATTGACCGTCACATTATAACGCCCCCACGGCTGAAAGGGCGAGCATGTTTGGTGGGACGAGGATTCGAACCCGCGACCCTCAGATTGCGAGTCGAGCGCCCTAACCACCTGGCCATGCCGGGCCCCTCCTTGATAGAAAAAAATAATTTGTGTTGGTGGTAAACTTGTGTGGAATTGTGTCGTGTACGTGTTCTGTAATATAGAACATTTCTATTTAGCGTTTCATAAATTCAGTTCGAAATTGTATGGGTGGTTGGTTATACAGAATAGTTACGTATCTCGAGATGGTATTTAAGTTTGAAGGCCAGGCAACTAGTTGCGTGTTTACTCATCAGTAAAGTTCCTATAAAGAATGAAATAAAATTGCGTTAATAAAGAAATAAAATGGAACATGCAGTGAAACTAAACACGTGAAAAGGGGTATTGTTTGTATGTTTTTGAATTTCGAGCAAAGCTACACGAGGGCTATCTGCGCTGTCGCTAATTTAGCAGTGTAAGACTAGAGGAAAGGCAGCTAGTCATCACTACCCACCGCCATTTCTTGCGTTACTCTTTTATCAATGAATAGTGGGATTTACCGTCACGTTATAGCGCTTCCACGACTGAGAGGGCGAGCATATATGGTGGGACGGAGACTTCGAACCAGCGACCCTCCGATTGCGAGTCAAGCGCCCTTACCATCTCGCCATGCCGGGCCATGTCAAAAAGGGATAAAGAAATAGAAATCGTACTGCTTAGTAATTACAAACATAGCCGTTTGATAAGAAATATTTGTACAAAGAAAGTGTATGTAAAGATGATTAAGAGTAATCTATTCAGCACCAATAATAACATGGAAAAAAGCAAGTTTACCAGTGCTATGGTTGGGATTCTTGGTATTACAGAAAAACTGATGTTCACAAACTATTTCGAATCTATATGGACATATACTATTTATACACGATCATGTCTACAATCCTGTGACCTACCTGGACATACACGTTGTATATACGATCATGTCTACAATCCTGTGATCTATCTGGACATACAGTCTGTATAGGTGACCATGTCTACAATCCTGTGACCTACCTGGACATACACTCTGTACAGGTGACCATGCCTACAATCCTGTGACCTACCTGGACATACACTCTGTACAGGTGACCATGCCTACAATCCTGTGACCTACCTGGACATACACTCTGTACAGGTGACCATGCCTACAATCCTGTGACCTACCTGGACATACACTCTGTACAGGTGACCAATCCTGGCAAATACATCTTTCTGACAAAAAAAATGTTTAGTTTTACGACTAATTACCGTAATATATAAATCTTAAAAAAGAGAATTTTAATGACCCACCTGCCACGGAAATTCGCCATATAAGGCTTCTTGACCTCCGATGATACGGCTCTGGGGTTTTGCTGTTGGACGTCCACAAGCTATAAAGTTTACGATCAAACGAATTGTAGTTATTACTGCTACAGTGTCTACATCTAGCGAGCGATGAATATTTACACGAAAATGTTTTATCTAATTCAAGTATATATCTTTTTCAGAAAATCTAAAATCCAAAATATTCAATAAATTGATAAACTTTTTTTTGAGGGGAGGGAGAACTAACTCACACTTTATTATAGTTTGTCCACTAGGTTTTGGTATGTATTGTGTTTTCTGTTAACTGCCAAATTGAAAAAAAAAAAAGTTGAAAAACGAGATATATTTCTGCTTTCTGTCTCGAAACGACACACCATTGGTGTATTATATTTGTCAAAATTAGCATAACATTTTCATTAGCTAAGCCGACTGTAAAGAAAATCATAATTACATACCACAATTCAAACTTAAAAAAAAATATATTGACATCATAATCGAGACGCAACTGATGAAACTTAGCTTTGCCCCAAACAGCCAGTTTTAATGACATGTTTATGACTGCTCAGAACTTGTGCAATAACTTGAAAGCCACCAAACAAACAAACAACCAGTTCTAATGACATGTTTATGACTACTCGGGAACTTGTGTAATAACTTGAAAGCCATCAAACAATCAATTCTAGTGACATGTTTATGATTTCTCAAGAACTTGTGCAATAAGTTGAAAGCCATCAAAGAAAAATAACCACACCCAATAAAACGTTTCTGTAATATGAAACGCCCTGCCACAGGATAATATTATACAATGTAATATTTAGACGTATCCGAAATTAATACGATAACAACAATAGGTGGATATTTCTGTACAACCGTTCAGTTTATTGTAACGAAGCTATTTTTAATATTATAATACCCCGCAAGATGGGGCTTAAAATAGATTTACTGATTTGTTTGTTAGCCAGTGTGGTCATGAGTCTATGTTACGTAAAATTAACGCCTTATACTGACAGTAGACAATATCAGAATATCTAATTCGTAGAAAAAAATATCATACCTTAAATGGTGTTGATATCACGAAGTAATATTGTTTTTTTGTTTTTTTTGGAGTTGATAATATAACCTACTATGACGGAAACGAAAAGTGTTAAACACGTGTAACAATGATATAACCATAAAAGTATTAGCCTAATTTGTTTGTTCCAAAAGGCATTGGACATTATTAAGTGTAATACATCAATAATATCACCTATTGTTTTAGTTGCTTAACTTTATTTCTTTATTTTTTAACGGAGGAGTCATCATTAAAGGTTTCGTTAAAGGCATGGAACCACCACCACCACCACCAACAACAACAACAACAACAAAAATTTTTTGCCTGGAAAATTTACCATATAAGGCTTCTTGGCGCCTTACCAACAGTGCGTAATAGGTGTAGCCCTATAAACATTTGTATGAACACCTTCCTGTTTTGCCCATTTATACATAAGAGAAATACCCGTCAAATATATGGTCTAAACACGTAGTTCAAACTCGTGCTATCTATAAAAAAACACCTTATGAATGTTCAATGATACTGTTATTTAAAACTCATGTTAAATAAAAGATGGAACGTCTTGAAATAAGGTGCGATTCAGAGCATTCAATACTCACGTGCTCCGCCATATGTTCGTTGATAATCACAGAGCTGTCTGCGCTCTGCCCACCGCAGGTATCGAAACTCAATTTTTAGCGTTATAAGTCCCCAGACTTACCTCTGAGCTAAAGGGGAGGGGATTATGCTCTACGAAAATTAAACGAAGATTGACCATATTGTATTGCATGATATCAAACCTTTAGACCAAAATTCTTAACAGTTATGCTGGATAACAGCCCTAAAAAAAAAGAAGTAATAGCTGATTAGTTCACAAACATACTTGGTTCTCTCGTGCTTAATGCCCGATACTTGAACTCTGAGCGGGGGTAGGTTGCTTGTTGGGGAGATGGCCTATGTCTGCGGGTTGGCCTCCTTAAATAAACACAACACGTGTACAGCAGGCTGCCTCCACATGAGAAGACGGATGTGCCTCCGGATAACAAACAAAACAGCGAGAAATAACAACGATGTTGAGATCCGTTGTACAAACAGGTTTCTTGGGAACCACTTCTTTTGGTGACCGGTAGAGGGTGCTGTTCAACTGGGAAGAAAGAAGAAAATTTTACTAACAACAGTATAGTGTCTGTTGGTCATTACTTAACGATTACATTATATATATATATATATATATGCTAAAATATAGATTATACTTACATAGTTGATCAGTGTGACCCCTCGGACGCTCTGCACGTGACCAAATCACACAGTTGATCAACAGGAAACATACCCAGCACAAATAGTGACTAAAAAACGGCATGACACGCATCGCCAATCATATCATCAACAATGGACTCATCTGATGTAAGGTGTTTCCTGTTGAAAAAAAAATACATTGGTGAAAAGATGTGATAATCTAATTAACATTAATCAGTATAAACTAGGAAGTAAAATGGAAGGTGTTTCCTGTTGAAAAAAAATATATTGGTGAAAAGATGTGATAATCTAATTAACATTAATCAGTATAAACTAGGAAGTGAAATGGAAGGTTTTTCCTGTTTAAAAAAGACATTGGTGAAAGATGTAATAATCTATTTATCGTTAATCATTATAAACTAGGAAGTGAAATGGAAGGTGTTTCCTGTTGAAAAAAAAAGGCATTGGTGAAAAGATGTGATAATATAATTAACATTAATCAGTATAAACTAGGAAGTAAAATGGAAGATGTTTCCTGTTGAAAAAAATACATTGGTGAAAAGATGTGATAATCTAATTAACATTAATCAGTATAAACTAGGAAGTGAAATGGAAGGTGTTTCCTGTTGAAAAAAAAAGACATTGGTGAAAAGATGTGATAATCTAATTAACATTAATCAGTATAAACTAGGAAGTAAAACGGAAGGTGTTTCCTGTTGAAAAAAAAGACACCGGTGAAAAGATGTGATAATCTAATTAACATTAATCAGTATAAGCTAGGAAGTGATATCTTTACACGGGTGGAATATGTAGCCATTTCTGCCTGTGATAGTCAGGTTATGCCTACAGACATGAGGTTATAAGTTGTGCTAGCTAGGCTCCTCAAAATTTAACTGTGGCTTGCCATTTGACTTCTTGTTTTCCTCAAGCATGTGGTAGGATATGGCAACGTATAACCACTAACAGTATTTAAGATGGATTTCGTTTGTCGCCAATAAATAGAAGTTTAAACACGATACAACAACAACAAAATGTATGAACCTATATTGAGACTAAAATTATCTTGTTAACCAAATAAAAGAAAAATTTCAAATGTTTTTTTATGGTATTTTTGCAACGGGTGTGATTCAACTTTATAATCCGCTTATATAAAAGTAGATCTTAATCATGATCAAATATAATCCGCTTGATTTCCAACTCTAAAAGTTGACATTTCTAATCTCTGTTTACAATGGAGCTCGTGAAAATATTAATAATTTTAAATATAGATAATTTTGCTACTAAAACATTTATAGTTGAGTCAATCACCCGAAAAAGAAAGTCCTCAACAAAAAACATTTGTAGGTCAATAACATTTCCATGTCCTAGATTTAAAGTTTCCAAAGTAAACCAGCTTAAGGCTTTTATTTCATGGTCCCTCTCAGTCGATGAATGAGATAAACTGTCTAATAATAACAAGTGCTTGTAGCGCCACCTGGCAGGGCTCAATAATGCTCACAGACTACGTTTTTTTAAAGCACATATTATAAATATGTAACTGGTGTCTTAACATACCGTTGGTGTAACTGGTGTCTTAACATACCGTTGGTGTAACTGGTGTCTTAGCATACTGTTGGTGTAACTGGTGTCTTAGCATACCGTTGTACTTAGTTTTGATAATACATACGTATAGTTTCTTTGGTATGTCACTTCCAAGTGAAGCATTCTTTCAGCTTTAACCAAAACTAACTCGTCTGATTTTTAACCCGATTTTCATACAAATTAGGAATCAACTAAATACGTCGCGTGTGTGTTCTTGCGAAGACAAATGCACGTTGTAGTAATTGACATGTTAGAATTACACAGAAGAGTCAAACATTTCACACGAGTGTTATTAATTAATATTGCTTTAGTCAGGGTTTTAAATAACTAAATGTCGAGAATCCTGAAACTTATGGTAACAGAATGAGCGCGAGCGGGTCGTTGGCTTAATGCAGACGTATGGAGAACATCCACATAAACATATATATATATATATATAATAAAAGTTATTAACTGCTTGAAACATAGCAGCCACGTTAAACTAATTAAGAAATGACTATTACCTAAAGTGTACGCTGTGGGACAGCAGTAAGTTTAGGACTTATAACGCTAAAATTCGCGGTGGACACAGCAGATAGCGGAATGTCGCTTTGCTCTAAAACAAACAACAACACGCGAACTGTAACCTACTTTTCAACTTGAAAGTCTCTAACTCAAGATGAAAGTACCTTTAAGGTTAATGACTCACAGTTGAACAGCCTTAGAATGAACAAATGTATATCATTTCGTAACATCATACAACGTTTAATACGCATGTGTAGAATTAGCGTTGCTGTAAGAACAGTAGATCTTTTAAAGTAAGCAAAATCTTTAACTACAAATAATTGTGCAACAATTTGTATTTATTACGTCTACAACTCAGTATCTGTATTATTTATTATTTCATGTATG